GTGAAATGTGTAAACCTGGCGATTCACAGACCTGTACCCCTGGGGATAAAAATATATTATATGTTTAAAAAAAATAAAATTTATTAAATATTAAAAAAAATAGTGATTAATATGAATAACTTTAAAAAAATAAATATAATTTAGGGGCGCCTGGGTGGCTCAGTGGGTTAAAGCCTCTGCCTTCAGCTCAGGTCATGATCCCAGGGTCCTGGGATCAAGCCCCAGGTCGGGCTCTCTGCTCAGCAGGGAGCCTGCTTCCTCCTCTCTTTCTGCCTGCCTCTCTGCCTACTTGTGATCTCTGTCTGTCAAATAAATAAATAAAACCTTTAAAAAAAAATAAAATAAAAAAATAAAATAAAAATTAAAAAAATATATAATTTAAATGAAATGGATTCCTTGAAAGATCCAAACTCTCAAGGCTCTTTCAAGAAGGAATAAATAACTTGACTCTGTATAATTTAAATTTGAATTCATAGTTAAAGAACCTTTATGCACAAACACATACATGCATGTGCTCACACATACACACAAAACCTGCATGCCCAGATGCTTTTATTGGTGAATTCTCTCAAACATCAAAAGAAGAAATAATATCAACTCTACACAACTCAAAATATAAGAAGAGGGAGCACCTGACAACTCATTTCATGATGTTAGCATTATACTGATATCAAAAATGAAAGCAACATCACAGGAAAAGAAAAACTATAGACCAATTATCTCCCATAAATAGATACAAAAATCCTTAACAAAATATTAGCAAGTCCAGCAATATATTAAAAAGATCATGTATCATGAACAAGAGAGATTTATCCCACAACTGCAAGGCCACTGAAACATCTGGAAACTAATCAATATAATTCACCATATGACCAGAAAAAACATGATCATTTCAACTGATGCAAAAAAGAGCACCTGAAAAAATTCAATATCCACTCAAGATAATGCATCTCAGCCAACTAGGAAGGTAAGGGGACTTCCTCAACCTAATAACATAATACTTATAGTGAAAAAACTAAATGCTTTCCGCCTAAGATCAGAAACAAAGCAAGGATGTCCTCTCTTGCCACTTCTATTTAATATTGTACTAGAGATTCTAGCTAAGATAATAAGGGAAGAAACCAAAATAAAGGACATACAGGTTAAATAAGAAGATATAAAACTGTTTTTAATTGCTATTGTTATAGTCATCTCAGAAAGTTCTAAAGAATCTACAAAAACATTACAATGAAGAAATGAGTTTAACAGGGTTGCAGGATACGTGGTCAATATTTTAAAATTTTATTTCTATATAATCCCAATGAACAATTAAAATTATAATTAAAAATACTATGTAGTAATTAAAATACTATGCAATATTGTAATTAAAAATACTATACATTAGTATTAATGTATTAATGTCATACAGTATTAAAATAATATACAGGACTAATACTATACAGTATTAAAATATTATACACTGTATAGTATAAGAATACAGTAGCACCCCAAACCATGGACAAAATATATATAAGATATTTACAATTTGAAAAACACTGCTGAGAGAAATTTTAAAAGATCTGAATAAGTACAGAGAGATACTGTGTTCACAGATTGAGACTCAATATTGTTAAGTTGTCATTCCAACCCAAATTGAACTATAGATTCAATATAATCCCAATCAAAATCTCAAGTGTTTTTATGAGACTGACAAGTTCATTTTAAAATACACATAGAAATTCAAAGAATCTAGAGTAGCCAAACAATTCTGAAAAAGAACAAAGTTGGAGAACAGTACTTGATTTCAAGACTTACTGTAAAACTACAGTAATTAAGACAGTGTGGTACTCACTGAAGTAGAATAATGGGAGAAAATAGAGTCTGTTCATAGAAACATAAATGTATGGTCAAGGCAATTCAACAGAGAAAGGTCAATCTTTCCAGCAATTGGGTC